GAAATAAAAGTTAAGACTTATAAACCAAATACATCACACACATAATATTAATAGCTCATGTGATAAACCTTTTTTTTTTATATATTGATTGTACAACGAGAAGTAACTCTCTCCAATTACTAACTCCATTCTTCACTTTACTCTATTCACATGTCATATGATTCAAACTTAAGATCTCTTATTTTTAATAAAAGGAGATTATTATTGAGTTATTTAGGTCGTTGGCCATGTAAACAATAAATCTTAAGTTAACACATAACACATAAAATAATAGTATCTCATATTAGATTTTTTTTTTCTCTAAATCAAGTATATAAGTATATATTTGCAAATTATCAATATCTATTGAGTTAAATACTAAGTATAAGTCTTTGAATATTTAGATAAATATTAAATCCATAAAATTATATTAAAATATTTTTAAATCAAATGTCAATTATAATTCATTCCTACTTATAAATACTTGCTCCTAAGTTTAGGATGAGTGCAGGGATGGTAAAATTTTATTTAAAATAACAGTACAATTCTATTGGGAACAGATTTATAGACCCCTAAAACGGGTCCATTCCATTGGGCCAATTTTATTTAAAATGTGAACCTAGATTTTTGGGTTCATAGGAGGAACCCTTCTATATTCCTTCAACCAATATATATATATATATATATATTTTTTATTTTTCTTTATTTTTTGAAACTCAAATTAAACCTTTGGTGTGGTGATTGTTAAACTTCAATCTCTTTAAATTTTGGGTTTTAATGGAGGATGATTTTTTTCTTCTTTTTTTTTTTTTTTTATGATGAGAGTGCAATCAATTTGTTTGGAAACAAAAGCAAATATGAATGGTAGAGGATTTAAGCTTTTGCACATCTCATTCCAAACTGCAAGAAATTAAATTTTTTAAGTAGTGTGTAACAAAGGGTGACGAACCAAGGTGTATGTTAATCAACATCCTTCTTATGTGTCTTATGATAAGTTATGACTTATACAATAGGTAGTCTCTTTTTTTTTTCTTTTTTTGAATATATTCCCATCCATCTCAAGACTCAAACTTAGCTTCCAATTAATTTGGAGCATTATGTTCTTAAAGTTTTGATATCCTTGGGGATCTCTTGATAGAGTCATCCATTCTCCTTCCTTAATATTTGTTGGCATTAGTCTAGGGTTTACAATAGTTTGTTTAGTTATTGGTGCTTGGTGGTTCTCCAAAATATTAAAGAAGAGAAGGAAAACGAAGCTTTAGAGCCAGTTCTTCAAACAAAATGGAGGCTTATTATTGCAGCAACTGTCTTCAACTAAGGGTAATGTTGAAAAGACCAAAATATTTAGTACCAAGGAGTTGGAATGGGCAACTAATAACTTCAATAGGACTAAAATACTTAGTTAAGGAGGTCAGGGCACTGTTTATAAAGGAATGTTGGTTGATGGAAGAATTGTCACAGTTAAAGAGTTTAAAGTACTAGATAAAGAAAAAGTTAAAGATTTCATCAATGAGGTGATCATTCTTTTGCATATTTGTTACAAAAACATTGTTAAGTTATTAGGGTGTTGTTTGGAGACTGAAGTTCCTTTACTAGTTTATGAATTCATTCCCAATGGGGTGCTTTTCCAATACATACATGATAAGAATGAGGAGTTCCAATTATCTTGGGAAAGACAATTAACAATTGCATCAAAAGTTGGAGTTGCCATTTCTTACATGCACTCAGCAACCTCCCCTCCCATTTATCACCAAGATGTCAAGTCCTCAAATATTCTTAGATGAAAAGTATAGGGAAAAAGTTTTAGACTTTGGGACATCGAGATCAATTGCTAGTGATCAAACTCATTTGATCACAAATGTTTAAGGCACATTTGGGTAACTAGACATTGAATATTACTAGTCAAGTCAATTAACAAAAAATAGTGATACTTATAGCTTTGGAGTTATCTTTATTGAACTCTTAACTAGAGAAAATCCAATTTCTTTAGAAAAGGTAGAAGGTGAAAAAGTTTGGTCTCTCATTTCATTCTTTCCATGGAAGAGAATAACCTCTTTAATATTCCTTATGCTTGAGTTAAGGATAGTGCTGCCCCTAAAGAAATTATAAAGGTTGTTAAACTTGCATATGGATGCTTAAGCTTGAGTGGCAAAATGCAACCAAGGATGATGGAAATTGCTGTGGAGTTGGAGCAGATTCATTTTTTGTAAAATAATTCAAATGGTCAAAAAAATCATGAAGAGATTACATACGTCGAGATTGACTTAACCAAATACTAGAATGTTGCCTTAAAAGCTTCATTGTTATTAGATACAGATACAAAGCCATTATTTTCAAGTGAATCGCAAGGATCCTAAGAAAAGAAAGTGAGATCAAATGCAATATGATATTGGTAGAGATATTAAGATTTTGTTTAGTATGATTGTAGTTTTTTTTTTTTTAATTTTCTTAAAATTTGAAAATTAAAAGAAAAAACCCTCATTTAGTTCATGTTTATTTGTCAAAATATTATCATGATTAATAAAGAGTGAAGTAGAAACAAAAATAATTTTAATATTATTAAACAAGTTTATTGTTTTAGTTATTTGTGTTTTTTCTTTGATGTTATTAGTTATTAGTGTTGAAACTTGTTTTAAACAAAATTTTATTTTGATTTTTAATTTTGGTTTTCAATAATTTTAAAATTTATAAAAACTAAAAATTAAAAAAAATCACAATCACATGAAATAGAGTTTAACATATTCATAAAATGGAGGTATTAATTTGATTCGAATTGATTGATTTTAATTATGTGAATAAATTTTAGATTTTATGAAAACAAAATCTCAGATTCAATATTAGGAGGTTTCTAAGTCCGCATGAAGCAGGAAAAAGCTATACACACAAACCTTAATTATATAAATTTATTTACAACTCGATGTGGCATAAATAATTGGTTCATTTTTCTATATATAAAATTTAATA